ACTACTGCTACTAGCCTGAACAGAAAAAGGATGTTCTTCTTTCACCTGGGCTGCCGTTCCAGAGGGAAGCAAGGAAGCCAGCACTTACTAAGTGTGTGCTGGATACAAGGCTGAGGGACAGGTGCCTTCACTTATGAGCTCCAACTCCAGTGTAGCCATCACTGCTTCCTTATTTTCGAGGAGGTGGTCATTTGGTGAAAAGTTGCTGGGAGGCAGGATACTCACGTAGTTTCAAAGTATGATCACTACTTTGTGGTGCAGGGTTTAGTTAAAGTCTTAGCGCTATCAAGCTACTGCCAGCCACTGAGGCATGGGTTCAATCCCCAGCCAGGGAGTTAATCCATATGGTGCAGCAGTCCTCCCTTGTCAGTATATCTGCCTGTTCTGCTTTCCACTCTCACCATCCCCCCCCCCACCCCGCACCCCCACCTCTGGCCTACTACCCAGTTCTTATATGCATTAAAAAAACCACAAATATTTTTTAAAAAGTAGTGAGATAGGCCCTCCCTGGTGGCGCAGCGGGTTAAAGCACAGCACTGAGAATCTAAAGCCGCTTCCTCTTGAGTTCGATTCCCGCCTGCCCCGGAGGTGACCACATGGCGTGGCAGACCTCTCCTGACCCGCCCTCTGCTCCCCTCAGCAGTGTACTTCGTAGATCTGCCTGTTCTGCTCCCCACTCTGTCTCTGGTGAAGCCTCTCACCGCCCCTGAGCCTCTGGCCTGTACCCCAGTTCTGTATGCACAAATAAATAAATCTTTAAAAAAAAAAAAGTAGTGAGATAACTAATTAATTGCAAAACAAACAAACAAACAAAAAAACTATATAGCCTCTATAATGGAGGGAGGACTAGAGATCTAATCCCCTGCTGCTCATCCAGCCCCAAGTCATCAACCTTATTATCACTAACAGCAGGGTAGCTGAAGTCAGGGCCTCCAGATGTGATGCAGTGAGCACACCGCACAGCTTACTGAATGTGCTTGTTGTAACAACGGTTTTCTGAATCTGATGGCTCCTCCAGACCAAACTTAGGAAACACCTGGGTCAGTGAAACAGCCCAACTGTCACAACAAGGAAGCACCCAACAGCTGCAGAATATGGGATGCTTCTGAACCTAGGTAGAGGCCCACTGGTATTTATTGTATTCTTTTTCATCTTTTCTGTTAATTTGACATTTTCAGGATAAAAATAGGATGGGGAGAGGTACACCCAGGAGAGGATCACCCAACAGGAATGTGTACAGAATGCACAGGGAGCTCAGGTTACCAAGAGAGAAAACACCAAGGACTATCATTTAAGATTTCAAAGCTGGGTGAACTGGTTGGTTTGTGTTGTTACTTTGGGCCTTGGGAAAAAAGCTATCACTTCTCAAAGTCAGCAGTGCTTTTGTAAAATAATGCTGCCTACTCCTAAATGACTGATTCCCATTTCTGGAAACATGAAAATCAAGAAACCAAGTCTATCTTATCAAGAAACCAATTCTATCTACACTTCAACTGAGAACTTTTTTTTTTTTCAAGATTTATTTATTTATGCATACCAGAACTGAGGTACAGGCCAGAGGTTTGGAGAGAATGGGTGAAACGATTCACTGGACAGAGTGGAGAGCAGCGGGCGGGACAGGTGAAGTCTGCCATGCCATGTGGCTCAGCTCCCTATAATCGAACTTATGCTGCAGCAGTTGCAGCTATCTTCATAGTGCTGTGCTTTAACCCCCTGCCACACCTCAGCTAGGAACTCTAACTGTTCAGGATGAATGAAACAGTTAGTTACTTTGCATCCACAGTTCCCGAGAGTAAATATCCCCCAGTGCAAGCACATCACTGGCCAATATTCACCTTTGATGACTGCCTTGTACTGGAACAGTGTACTAGGCTCCAGGAAAGCTCAGCTCTGTTCTGCTGAATAACTTATTTAGTTAGAGACTACAGAGAAGCCACCAGAAGAAGAGGAATTGCTCAGCAGGTTGACCATAACAAAGCCTCTTCATTGAAAGCATCTTTATCGGGCTTCCCTGGTGGCGCCAAGGGGTTAAAGTGCAGCACTAGGAAGCTATCCACAGCCACTGCAGACTTCTCCTGTCCTGTCTACTGCTCCCCTCAGCAGTGTGTTTTCAGTCAATCCACCTGTTCTGTTCCCTACTCTGTCTCTGATGAATCCTCTCACCGCACACCTCTGGCCTTATACTCTGGTTCTTACATGCATAATAAAGCATTTCTTTCTAGGGCTTCCCTGGTGGCACAGGAGTTAAAGTCTCAGCTTTATCAAGCTATCACCAGCCACTGCAGCATGAGTTTGATCCCCAGCCAGGGAGATGACCCACATGGTGCAGCAGACCTCTCCTGTCTCACCTACTGCTCCCCTCAGCAGTGTCTATAAGTAGATCTGCCTGTTCTGCTCCCCACCCTGTCTCTAGTGAATTCTCTCAATCACCACCCCCTCTAGACTGGACCCCAGTTCTTGTATGCATAAATAAATAATTCTTTACAAAAAAAAATAAAGCATTTCTTTCTACTCAGACATACTTTGCTTTTCAATGAAACTCCAGGAAACCCAGACTGGGAAGTTTCTTTATAAGTGTGCCTCTATTTGCCCAGCTTTCCTGAAATACAGAGAGCAGCTCAGCTAGAGCTGGAAAGCTTACCCACTTATCAAGGGGGTGGTGCTGACAGTGGGACACACCTATAGATGGTGGCCTGTAATAAACAGTCTGTAGGCTCATGCTGTGTAAAGAACTGGCCACCTATTTATCACCTGGCACAGAAACTTTCAACTACCTGCACTAGATGTCTGAGAACCCCACAAAGAGAGGTGAGACAAGCACCAGGAGAAATCCTTGTGAAAATCAGAATCAAAATCCTCCCCTGAAATGTTAATACATAAGAAAAGTTTCCCTCCTGGTGAAAAACACAGCAACTTATAAATGTAGAAAAAAGTGTTTTTTTTTTTTTTTCTGGGAAACCTAAAGACAGTGGTCTGAGGAGTCACTGAATTAGGGATGTAAAGTGATGAAAAACACCTGGCAGAGCAGTGGGCTCATTCTATAGAACAGAGCTGGCCAACAAGGAAACTGGGAAGTGTTAGAGAGGGCCCACTTCCACCAGTTTTAGCCATGTCATCCATTTTTCACTGAAGATGAAAATACTTCCTAGTCCAGTCTCTGCATACAAAAAGTACCAATCACTGTAGTAGTCGCAAGTGTCCACCCCACAGATTAAGTAAAGGCCCTGAAGACTGGCTGAGTGAGCACCATCACTCTCAACACATTCAACCTGGCACACTTCTCGGCTTCAAGCGACTCTGCCCTGTCTTAATCATATTTGCCCCTCTGAATCACAACTGTCAAACCCAAGGGTTTACGTCAGGTCATCAGCACCAATCAAACCCACTAAAATAGCCTGAGCTAGGCTAAAAAATCTTCATTTAGAGAACAAAAATAAAAATGAAGCCTGAAGTTTCCTTTAGAGAAAAGGGAGGGCCAGCTAGGCAGAGAGAAATGGAAGGGGAGTGGAGACCTGGCACAATGTCTTGAAAGGACGTACATACAATTCACGCACCCAAGTCAGCAACTGATTTTGGCAAAGTCTTCACAAATTATTACTGTGAGAACAAGTGGGTATTTGTTCAGCAGGGAAAATGGCAAAGCAGTAGAGACTAACAAGAGAAAAAAAAGTGGCAAACATTAAGTCAAGCACCTGCTTCAAGACATGTCATGTCCAGGCAACCAGAAGAAAGTGGTATCAAAGAACTGCCTCTCACAGTTACCTAAAACCTGGAGGAATTAACCCAAATAAGCCTTGCATTAGAAACAAGCAAAACTGCAACTCTAGCGCTTGGACACTACAAGATGCATCCACACACAGCTGCGCTGGCACTTATCTGGAGCTGAGGAGTAGTTTCTGCAGAAGCTTCTCACTCCGCCATGTGAACACAATGGCAAGTTTTAAGAACAAGCCTTTTTGTAATCAAAGCCTCTGTACAGATAGTTTATCCCCCCTCCTATCACACCTCGCCTACAAACCATGCCAGTTTTCTGTTACTTTAGTAAAAGGAAAGGCGAGTAGTAAGAAATCTACCCAATTGCCCTCTCCCTCCTCTCCACTGTCAGCACATATGACAACAGGGCGGAACTTCTAGATTTCCAGAAGAGTCATCTGGCTCTTTCTTCTCCCTTACAAAACTCTCAAGCAAAGTCCCCTGTGACTTAGCACAGGGATTCAGAGACCTCCCAGACCCTCTGAGTTTCCTTATCCATTAAACCACAAGGTTTCTCCAAGTCTCATGGAAAAGGAGGAAACTTTAAAAATAAATAATAAGTGTGGACTAGGAAAAGGAATGGTTAGGGGAGCCTTGGTACACCACCTAATAAAGCTTGGGGCAGAGAAGTAACAGGTGGACTATTCAGTTAGAAAAGAGTAAAGAAAATGGGGATGGGGGAGTAGCCAATCTGGATGGGTCCTGCACTGACCAAAAAAGATAATAACTCTGAGACAAGAGGGGCTGTCTGGGAAAACAGCACTGGGAATGGAATGCATACACTAACAACCCGGGTAAAGCAAGGCAGCGGGGGTTTAAATGAGAACGGGATATAGTAAATCTTTGAGAAGTGAAGGTGCAGATTTTACGATGCGGTCCAAGTCGCAAAGGGGAGGGTAAGAAAAAGCTCTAACAACGGGCAGCAAGAACACCCAACTGTAAAGCAGCGTAACCTTAACGTGCGATGACAGGTGGCAGAGAGGCGAGGTTTCGGCGCGTATCTGAGAGAAGAGTTGTATACTGGCAAGGAGGAGAGGGGTGACGACGTCCTGAAGATGCAACGGTGAGGAGACGGGCTCAGGACCCCGCGCCGGGGGCCAGAGCTCCCCCTATTCTGGAAATGCCCAGCAGGGGCCCTGGGGAAGAAGGCACCTCCACCAAAGGGCCCGGGTCGCAGGCCTCAACTCCTCAGGCCGGGGCGTCCCCGGGGCGCAGGGCCTCAGGGGGGGCGGGGGTCCCGGACTCACGCATCAACGTGCTGAAGGCCACGACGCCGAGCAGACCCTGCAGGAAGATGCCGAAACTGTGCATGAGCGCGCCGCTCTCGCAGCGGCCCGCCCCGGGCGCCACGGTGGAGGGCGGCCCGCCCGGCAGTCCGCGGCTCGCGTTCCCGGCTGGGCCCTGCATGGTGGGCCTGGCGGGGGGGCGCGGGCCGGGGCCGCCCGGCCTCGCTGCCTTCTGGGGCCGTGCCGCCCAGCTCGGAGCTCCGAGCCGGTACCTCCGCCCGGCGGCCGACTCCGCGCCGCGCGTAACCCGACGTCTGAGATCGCGACGCCTGATTGGCGCCGCCCGGCGTGGGGGCGGGCCTCACCCGCTCCAGTTCTTTCCTCCCCGCCAGGGGCGGGGCTCCGACGGAGAGGGGGCGGGGCCGGGGATTCAGCTCACAGGTAGCATTGACCAGGTGAGCGGGACTGCGCAGAAACAAGAGCGAGCGACGCTTACCGGAGCTCTAGGTAGAGAGGGCAGGAGAAAGGACTCTCGTGACTAAGTTCTTTCCCCCTCCAAGATACATTCCTGTATAACATCTTTCAAATGCTTCTGGGTTCCAACCTCAAATTCCAGTTCAGTAATTCTGACACGGGGCTCAAAATTTGCATTTTTAGCAAAAAGCCTGGATTCTGAAGCAGGTGGTTGAGAAAAAGTTTCTGTGCATAAGGCATATTCCTACCAATACAGACGCCTCTACTTTCCTCGTTAGTATCAATATCCTGTCCCAAAGACTTTAATTCATTAATCAGGCCCAAATGGACTCCCCCCCATTGTAATTTAAACGGATACTTCATTTAGAATTTATACTGAAAATACATAGATATATACACCTCTTGTTCATTTTGAACACAATTCACAATTCATAAAAGCCTAATTGTTGATACTTGGTAGTCTCTTAACACCTCCAAACACACCCCCCCACCCCACTCCCACTTAACAGGACTTGTTGAAAACTGCGCACACACACACACACACACACACACACACACACTCTTTCATTTAACACTTTCTGACTCCGTGAAAACTGTTCTTTTCCCCTATCAGGGCCTCTGGTTTCCATTGTCTGCTACCCTCCCAGCTGCCTTTGGCCTCTCTCCAGACACCTCCTTAGTGTTCTAGATTCCCAAACGGTCAGGCTGCATCCTTAGTGCCAGTGTACACATGGTATCATTACAGTAGACATTGTGTTGTATTTGTTTAACAATAAATACTGTATCTAGGGCAATCCCCCTTAGAAACTGCCACCAATAAATTCTATTAAAGGGTTAAATACTATCCTAAAGCTTTCTTAGTTAACAGAAATATTAATGATTGTCCAGAGGGAAAAAAATTGCTATTGGCTCTGTAGAGCCAGTTCTCCAGCCCTTTATTATTATTTTTTAAAAGATTTTTTTATGCTTACAGAACTGGGATACAGACCAGAGGTGTGGTGGGTCAGAGGATTCACTAGAGACAGTGGGAAGCAGAACAGACAGATTGACAAAGAACACTGCTGAGGTTAGCAGCGGGCGGGTCATAAGAGGTCTGCCACGTCATGTGTGTCAGCTCTCTGGCCTGGGATCGAACTCATGCTGCAGTGGCTTTGGATAGCTTCATAATGCAGTGCTTTAACCTGTTGCGTCACGAGGGAGAGCCCCAGCCCTTTTTTAAAATTAAAAAAATATACACCTCTATGCCTAGTAATGGCATTCTAGCTGTATGAAATCCTATTCCCTTTCCCCTGCTCCACGAATGCCTATTAACACTTTAATGCCCATCTGACACACATTACTTTGTGCATATTGCTCAACTGTAACTTTTCAGACTAAATTGTACAGCTGTACACACATCTCTCACAGCTGCGTGTGAACTTTCAGGACAGGAACTGGTTTTTATTCACCTTTGAATCCAACATAGTTCCTAGCAAAGAGACATGCAACAAAATGCTTTTTTAAATTAAACTGAATTTTAATTTATAAAATTTAAAACTCTCCACAAGTATTGACCATGGGAAAATACATAAAATCAAGAAAACAAACAGGTAAGGGAAAATTGTATTACTACCTTTAGGTGTAAGTAGATCTCTTAAGGGGATTCTCAAGTTACAGTCCATGTTCAGAGAGAACCAAACGAGGATATGTACTTAAAGCATCAGAGATTAATGTTGGGTATAAGGAAAACTATTAATTGATTGAGAACACAAACTTAGCTTAGGGGAAATTGCACATAGAGCTTAAAACAAAGTTTTTGTCAAAGCACTGCTCTGCATATTCAGATGTAAAAATATCCTTAAGGCCCATTGCTGCTGCACCAAAGCAAATACAGATCTGCAAGCAGCAGTCTTCACAGATCAGCACAGAATCCCTAAGGCCAGGAGGTCACTGTAAGGAAATGCTGCTCTTCCTGTAATACATGAACTAGAATTAAAAAATTACCTAAATTCAGAGGGGTGATTCTGGAAGTTTATTAAAGTAGAAGGAACTTTTTCCTTTCATAGCTACATCTGAGGCTCCACTGAAAAGAGTTTTGATGAATTTACTCTGGTTAAGATGCCACTTTGTTGTCGAATGAAGTTGGACATAGTTTAAGACCTGTTTTAAATTTTCTAAGAACCACTTAAAAATAGTATACCACAAGTTTATGTGCACTATTATTTACCAATAGACTGAAACAAAAACCAAGCAGACTACCCATCCAAAATAGTTATTTTTTAATCCTTTGAAGTTGTACCAACAACTTGTTAGGAGTTATTTTAATAGGTTTAATATTTTAATAGGTATTCTTGTGCATATTACTCCTTAATTATACTTTATCCTCAGTGCATAAATTTTTAAAGAGAAAAACAGCAAGCAGGAAAGATACAATGCAATATGCATTTCGTTTCAAACAAGCAGCTTTAAAAGTAAAAAAGGGACAAAATATATTAAAACAAAGTGCATCAGTTCCAATGAATTAGTATTAGAAAGAGGCCTAAGAACTTAAGGACAATGCTGGAACCAGCCAGAAATCCTGCCCAGACAGGTCTCTTGATTGTCTATGGAGAATATTCAACCAAAAGGAGGAAACAGGAAAGAAATGAGCCCTTTAAAAATCTCAAGGGAAACATTCTTTCCTAGAAATTCCTGTTAAAAAGTGCTAAAGAACTGCCCAGCTTCAACATTGTAATTGCCCTCACTCATCTGCTTTGTGACTTGACTTACCCCCAAAGCCTCCCCTCATCCTTTGAACACTGTCCACCTTCATTCTGCCAACTGAGGCATGCAGTTAGATTGAATAAACCATGCAGAAGCCCTTGGGATGGAGTTTCTACGCATGCTGAGAACAGGCATTACCCACAGAATGGTATCATTTTTTGCTTCTAGAAACAGTTGCAGACCATTTGCTCCCATGCCCACTCTCCCCCCTCAGTGTGCACTTTATTGCTGGTGTTGAAGACATGTCCAGCTGAGGTTTGTTTCCTTTTCAAAACAGTCCTTTATGTTAAGTCATGCACTAGGACATTCCCAAACAGTGTTAAGTCAGAAAAGATATGGGGGCGGGAGTTTCAGGCCTGCTTCTACATTCCCCCAACTTCCACTCATGGTTTTGCTGGTTCTTGTGAAAATTAAGACTTCTGAAACCAAAGATTAATCTTCAGTATTCTTACTGCCTACCACATTTTATACCATCACCCCTAAGGCTGCCCTTAGAAAACTAGTCTTTACCTGTATGTCTGGAACAAGTATTGAAGAAAATACCCCAACTTGAGCAGGTCTGGAACAGACCCATTTGGACTAGGATTTTAATTGAGAATTCTTCTATTAAAACTCCCAAGTTCATAGATAGCTTATTTGGAGAAATTAAAATTTCCAAAGTACACACATTCTCAGACAGTGGATGAAAGTAATCAAAATTCACTAGCAAAATGTTGCAAAGAGAATTAAAACTGCATTAAGTGCCTCTTTTTGGTTTTGCAGGAGAACCTTTCCTACAGTTTGTGAGCCAATACAATGACCATGATACATGGTTACTTATAGTGAACCCAGAACCAAAGATATTTGAATTTTGAAGGGGGAGGGTGGTTTCTGGTCCCCACTTAGATTTATACTTTATTTCTCTTAGTTGTGTCTTCTCCAATTTCAATAAGGCCAACTCATACCCAGAACACTTTGAACTCACACACATACATGCACACAGCATACCCCTGGTCCACAATAAGTATTTACCAATACCAGTGTGAATTTCCAATGCTGAATCTGAATTAACAACTATGAGTTTCGTGGGAATCAAACAAACCAGTCTTTGTTTATATGTCCCAAGTAAATATAAGTGCCTGAGACAGTTTTCCCAATGTCCCCATCTAGATAAATCTTATGTAATGATAACAATTCCTTTATGTCCTCTAGAAATACTTTTTGACTTCAAAGAGGGGAACAGTTCTTAGCACTATCCTACCAAAAGCCTCCTAAGCATTTAATCTGTATTCAGGCACATTAGTGACTGAGCCGATACAAGAGCAAGTAAAATAGATGTAAGTCCTTAGGAAGTCATGGTCCAAAGTCCTCTGTCTTACAGTGAGGGTAATTTTACTTCCAGAAGAGGCATATAAAAGCCAAGTTTTGAGCTAGTTTTCTATGTATGCCTTACATAATTTAGTAACTATTTACCAAGTCCATTTCTTCCAGAGGTTGCTAAATACCCCTCCCTAGCCCTGTCTATGTATCTACTGTAATAAAGATGCTTAGAGCCACCTATAAACAGAAAATAAAGTCAGATAGAGTAAAAATCCCCATGTTATGCATTCCCTGCATTAGCCACCTACTTCAATTCTGCTTCAAATGAGAAGGTAGTTTATGAGGGGAAATAACATAATTCTCAGAAATCCATAACACAGTCAAAATGTCCCAGCAAATCTTCACGTGCAGTAAAAAGGTTTCCCTAACACACTAACACCATAGTAATTGGTTAGTATTGATCAGCCAACTTTAAGGTTGAGGAGGGCGATAAAGTCCATTCACTTGTTTCCAAGTTGTCAAGTGAAGATCAAAAATGGGTAATGGAAAACTTTCTGACCTTAAGCAGGCTGTATGGCCAGCTGAAGTTTATTTGGACAAATGCACTCCTTTCACAACATACCTCTCATAAATGTTAGAGGTTGGCATCTTTAAAGAAAAAGTTCACACACCTATGCATGACATAAAACTTTTAACCCCAACAGAGTGAGCCATTAATAGGTTTTAAGTCTGTCTCAGAATCACAGGAATCAGAAAGT